ATCCTTTTTAATGGCTTCATCATATTCCATTGTATGGGGGTACCATAATCTAAGAAAACAGATATTGAGCTAACCAGTTCTTCAGAGTAAGCGCAGAGGCAAGGAGGGAGGAGGCAAAGCGCACACGCCCCTGCTGCTTTGGGCTCCTGTCGGTCTGCACCCCGTTTGGCGCTTGCTGCTATCTTCCTGTCTCAGGAGCCGCTTTCCTTCTGTCCCTGTGCTGGGCACTGAGTCTGGCTTCTCTCTGTACCTCTGCCACCCAGCACAGAGTCGGACAAAGAGTAGACGTGAAATGTTTGTTGACTGAATAAAGCCAGTGTGACGCAGGCACAGTCCTTGGTTGAGGAGGTGGGGTTCATCCTCATGGATGACGAATCCCAGCTGCTTAAGTGACCCAAGACGAAAACAGGTAGGTGGTGGGGCAGCGGCGAGTCTGCTGAGCCCCGCCAGGTGGCTGAATCCTTGGGTCTGGTCAGGGGAGATGATAGGCAATCACCAGTAGCAGGTAAGTGGACGGATCATCCAGGGACCGTGGCAGCGGGAAACAGTACCACAGGGACACCCAGCATTTAAGGAGCAAGAGGAGGTGCGAGAAGGAAAAGTGAAGGCTGTAGCTGTCCCTGGGATTTGGCTGGTAGGAGGGCATCGGTGCGAGACGCTGGCGGGCAGTGGTTAAAGGAGTGAGTGACAGGCATCAGACTTTCAGATCTGGCTCTCGGGAAGCCCGGCGGCATGACAGCTGCGTGCGGTGGGCGTTTTTATGTTAGCCGGGCGGGGCGCTGATCAAGGGAAGCAACAGTAGAAGGGCCGAGCCCTACAGCGGAGGGTCGAGGGTGTCTTACCTACAGTCCCTCAGCATGAACGGCTCCCCACCAAGTGACTGCAGGGAACAGCAGGGGCAGGGCCTTGACCAGAGGAGGGCACAGCATGGGGCGGGGCCTTGGGGAGAATGAGGGGGATGGGCCAGTCGCTCCTGGGGTCCTTTTTGTTTTGAAATGGACTCTTGCTGTCGCCCAGGCTGGAGTGCAGTGGCACAGTCTTGTCTCACTGCAACCTCCGCCTCCTGGGTCCAAGCAATTCTCCTGCCTCAGCCTTCCAAGTAGCTGGGATTATAGGCATGTAATTTTTGTAATTTTAGTAGCGATGGGGTTTCACCATGTTGGCCAGGCTGGTCTTGAACTCCTGACCTCAGGTGATCCAGCCTGCCTTGGTTCCCCAAAGTGCTGGGATTACAGGTGCACGCCACTGCGCCTGGCATGGGGTCTTGTTCTGGGCGGAATGGAGAAGGCATTATTCGCAGGATGGGTGCCACAGAGACAGGACAGGGCCGGGAAGGGTCGGAAGAGCGCAGAGGCTGAGGAAAGGTTAAGGGCTGGAGTGCATGTCCATTAAGGACCTAGGGTGCCTACCACCCACCACAGCAAGCACAACAGACAGGCTTCTCCCTCAAGCCATGCTGCTGGGGGAGGAGTGCTTTCAGCTTTAAGGATGGGTCCTAGATGGATAAACAACCTCCAGGACAACTTGGTAATGACGATGGTGGAATTAGCCTGGTGTGGTGGTGGCGGGTGCCTGTAATCCCAGCTACTTGGGAGGCTGAGGCAGGAGAACAGGTTGAACCTGGGAAGCAGAGGTTGCAGTGAACCAAGATCCTGCCATTGCACTCCAGCCCGGGGGACAGAGCGAGACCCCGTCTCAAAAAAAAAAAAAGTAAAACCTTAGTAATATTAATAGGTCCTGCTCCCAGGACTGATGTATATGGCAGACCCCACTCCAGATAAATCAGAGCAATAGGTGGGTGAAAGGGCCTGTAGAGATGGAGTTCACATCAAGGCCTAGGGATCCCGAGGGAACACAGGTGCTAACTACTGAACATCCGGTCCTTTGCTCCCTGAGAGTATAAAAATACTTCAACAATCACGAACTGTTTGCCATTTACAGCACTTGCTGTATTTTGTGTGGGCTAAAACCACAGGAACAGCTCACCCCAACAACTGGTTTTCATGAGCTCAGGTATCCAACTAGGTACATTAAAAATGTTTTCTATCTACCCAAGAACTCAGCGAAAATAATAACCACCTTGAGAAACCAGATTTTTGCCTCTCCTTTAGTGGAGAAAAATGGCTGAGCTGGGTTTTAGACAAACGCCTTGAGTCCGAATGTTCAGTCCAACTACCTGCATTCAGCTTGAGCACGCGCCATGAACTGTCACTCATGGCCCGAGGGATACCCTCTTTGGCGCTACAGTTGAAAACTAGGTATCAGAAGGGGGTTAGCAAATTCTAGAGCTTTTTCTATCCAGAGATCACCGCTACCCTAAGCATTTTGCTCGAGTTTGACTTTACGAAGCTGTGTTGGTTGAAGCTTTTCATCTTTGGAACGTACTCGTGTCTTGTCAGATTCCTTCTATCCGTCTTCGCATTTCTAGTAGTAACTGGCATATTTTGTCTATCTGAAAAGGTATGGACTACCAGTGAACTTCCAGGCAGTGCTCCTGCAGCCGCTTAAGAAGTCATCCACCAAGCGTTTAAGAGAGGTTCTAAACTCTGTCTTCCGACATCTGGATGAAGTAGCCGCTACAAGTATACTGGATGTAGGTATCCAGAAACAGCAGTATTTCCACAGTAAGGTCAGCATCTTACCGTAGAATGGGAGATACTTTCAAAAAACTGGTATCTACCCGTAATCCCAACACTTTGGGAGGCAGGCGGATCACTTGAGGTCAAGGGTTATGGTAAGACCCTGTCTCTACTAAAAAAAAATTGGGCCGGGCACAGTGGCTCACGCCTGTAATCCCAGCACTTTGGGAGGTCGAGGCGGGCGGATCATGAAGTCAAGAGATCGAGACCAACCTGGCCAACATTGTGAAACCCTGTTTCTACTAAAAATACAAAAATTAGCTGGGTGTGGTGGTGTGTGCCTATAGTCCCAGCTACTTGGGAGGTTGAGGCAGGAGACTCGCTTGAACCTGGGAGGCGGAGGTTGCAGTGAGCTGAGATCACGCCACTGTACTCCAGCTTAGCAACAGAGAAAGACTCTGTCTCAAAAAAAACAGCAGCAGCAAGAAATTAGCCAGGAGTGGTGGTGCATGCCTGTAATCCCAGCTACTTGGGAGTCTGAGGCAGGA